AGAGAGAGAGAGAGAGAGAGAGAGAGAGAGAGAGAGAGAGAGAGAGAGAGAGAGAGAGGGAGACAAAGACAGATTTGCGACATTCGGATTCAGACTTGACATTGGGGTGAAGACATTGTGGGGGACTATTTTTGGATCAGTATCGATGACATTTTGGGTTGACGACATTCTTCATATCTCCCCCCCTTTGTCTATCCTCCCTCCTCCTCATTTGTGTATGATTGCGTACCTGGCTTCCTTCCTCTGTGTTCGGCGCCAGGCCACTCACACTGTTTGATGAGGATGATGTGTCACGACATTGATTGGCTCTGATTGTTGGTATTCCAGTCTTCCGCTGTGCTATCATTGCTCCATTTTTGAGAGGTCAGTTCTTGGTTCTGGTCTGCGCCGTTTGGCATGTGACACAGCGTTGTCACGGGCTTTCCTTAGGCTGAGCTACATTTTCAGCTGAGAGGCTGACAGCTACCCACCAGTAACCAACTGGGCCTACGGAATAACTAACCTACAGGCCTGCTTCCGACGGACCTATAGGACTTACCTGCCACTATACGGTCGGCAATTCCCACCGGGTGGAACTATATTGCATGGGACTCTGGGACTTGGAATTGGGACCGGGTTTTCTGAGGTGCGTGAAATCCTTTCCCTACGCGAACTTTTGGTAGAATTGAAACTTTTTTTTTTTTTTTTTTTTTTTTTTAATGTGGTCCGATGGACCACGGATCATATATTAAACTGATCAGAACAAATACTACACTTGATCGCCTCGTTAGACCCTCCTTGAAAATCCTCAGGAATGTCGAAAGTTATGGTTACACCGCATCCTAAAAAACAAAAATCCTTGAAAAATTGTGAAAACGCTCCCAAGAGATTTCCTTGGGTCCCTCAGAATCCCCAACCATTGCGTCCTTCGATTCAAGGGGTCCTCGAGAGGTCCCTTGGGCTCAAGGATCCGCGATAGACGGGCCGTCGTTGAGAGTGCGTTGACACGGGAAGTTTCTGTTTTTGCTGGTGCACGTGACGTCCGTGGTCCATCGGGCTGACAATATCGACTTCCAACCGGTGGGAGGTCACCAACGGCCTTGTGGTGTTACCGTTCGCGCATACACGGCCGGGGGTCCCGCTTCGGGTGCGACAGACGTCGGAGCGGTGGGGTTCTCCTTCAGCGGTTCGTCGGGCGTCGTGTCCAACGGTCGAATATTTCGAAATTTGTTTTATGTGCGGGGTGCCGGCCGGCCCGTTTGCTGCCATTCGCGTGCGCACGTGAGGGTTGTCCGTTCGGTGGTCATCTACACGCGGTGCGTTTCATGGCAGACATTTTCCGGCGGCTACAGGTCCTGTTACTACCAACTCTTCTTCTGCTTCTTCTCGTCTTTTTGCGCGCCTTCGTCGTGCCGTGGTCTCATGGGTGTAGACAGAGACAACAAGTGGATAGGAAGACGGCGATGGACATACGGGACAGCTCCGTCGGACAGCAAAGACGTGTGATGGATTTCTCCATTCCTGATCGGCCCCTCTCCGGCCATCGACCCGCCGCATATGACCCCTCGTACAGTCATCTTCCACCACACGAGCAGCCGTTGCCACCGGATCCGGAGGACGCCTGGGTTGAGGATCTGTCGCACACACTTCCTCTGGGGAGTGGATCTATGCAAGAGTGGACGAGTAGGCAGTGCCAGCACAGGGAAGCAGGGACCACGCGCGAGTCGTTCACAGCATTGCTGGAGGAGGGTGTCAACAACGCGGCCACGGAGCTTGTGGACTTGGATTTCGGATTGTGCAGCGGGAGTGGTGCAAGTGGTCCGATCCACGAGGGGGGGGGTGGTGGGAGCGCCGACGTTCGGAGGAGGATCGTCTCGTGTCGGTGGGCCGACGAATGGGTGTCGTCCACAGGTCTCGAGTTCCATGGGCGCCAGGCCAGTTGGCGAGTCGTCAAGGGCAGTGACACCCACCCGCCCCTCGGTGTCTTCGCCTGCAATGCGGCAGAGCGCGACCGCAAGTCCTGCAATCAATGAAGGGACTCCATCGGAAGACATTGGGAGGCAGGCGTGGGAGAACTGCTGCCTAAAGATGCGGCATGCTGCCGCGGAGAACATAACCACCGGTGTGTCCAAGCTGCGTGTGGGGAGCGACGTGGATGTGGACGACAATCGTCGGGCGAGTGGGGACGAGTCTCCGGATTTCCGTTACGAAGACGACGTGGAAGACGGTGAGGGGCTGGAGATCCGACCCGTGGCTGCGCATGGTGGGCGGAGGGGAGGACGCGAACGTCAGCAGAGGGGTGAGTCGCGTGGTGGCCAAGGATCGAAGGCTTCTGTGGGCGACAAGGGTGGCAAGCACCCAACTTGGAGTGTGGAGGAGATGTTGAAGCTCGCTCGAGCGAAGCGGGATCAGCAAGCTTATTTCGAGGGAATGCCGCACAACTACGGCCGCATGCGAAACAGGGAGTGGAAGCTGCTGGACCTACAGAAGCGGCTGGCAGGGGTCGGAGTGAACAGGGCAACGGACGACATCGGAAAGAATTGGGATAAAGCCTTCCAGCAGTACAAGAAGGTGCAGCGTTACCAGAACATGTTCGGTGGACAAAACTTCTTCACATTAACTCCTGCAACGAGGGCGGACGAGGGCTTCAACTTCCGAATGGATGAGCGAGTCTTCAATGAGATCGACAACATGTCCAAAAATAACAAGACCATCTACCTGGACAACGCGGCAGACACGAACGCCCGCGGAGGAGTGCCGCCAGCAATGGATGGTCACCGCCAGGCGGCCGTTGGTGGAGAGAGGGGTGATGGCGTCGACGAAGATGTGGGTTTAACGAGGGAGTCGGGGTTCAGTGCAGGGAGCACGGGCAATCCAGCGAAGAGGAAGAACATGCGGCAGCAGACCTTCGACGCCATCGCCGAAGTCATGGACAAACATGGTGCATTGATGGCGGATACAGTAGAGGGTGCGAGCAAACAGCACTGTAGCATCCTGGAGCGGCAGTGTGACAGCCTGGACCGGAAGGTTGAAGCCCAGAATCGGCAATGTGACATACTGGAGAGGCATTACGCGGCGTCCGATGAGGCGAACAGGATGATGTGCACGGCGTTAATGGAGATTGCCAGAGCAATAATTTGAAGGGACAGATCTTGACGTCGGTGGCGTGAGGTTTGTTGAGCCGTTGTGGTGGATTCGCCCGCGAACCGGCCCGTGGCGAAATGTGGTGCCGCTCCTCCGACAACGACAGAAATCCAGGAAACAAGGCGGGGGATGGTGTGTGCGATGGCCGTCTACCCTCGCGCGCTGCGAAATGTTGAGTCGCTGGCCCTCCAAGGCAGGGCCGTCCATTCCCTGGACCGCACTGTCCCTTGGTATTTGGGGTGGTTTGCCCGCATGTGGAATGGGTTATCGTCGGTGTCGTCACTTGGAGGGGTGTGCTGGAGGCCGTCTGGGCGGGATCCGTGCCCCGAGGGAGGGGAAATGTCACCGCGAGCGCTATAAAGGTCCGCGCGAGCGCTATCTTGTCCATGTCTTTTGGTTCTCGACTGCACGCAAGGCCACGCGTGGGGTTTCCGTTGTGCTGCGCGGGAAGCTCAACATCGCCCGCGCAAGACGATCCCTGGCAACTTCCTCTCAACCGCTGTGGCAGTCCGCTTTCGTTCACGGGGCGTGCGCATCCGACCGTCAGCAAATGGCGCCACGCGGCCAGCAGAAGGCGAAACGTCCACACGGTGGTTCCGGCGAAGCAGGTGCACGGCAAACAGGAAGGGGCCACGTCCCAAAGTCGAAGAAGCTCCGCGCGGGAGACGGGTCGAAAGGCGTGATGGGGGGTGACGGGGGAGAGGAGGTGACGCCTATGGACATCACTTCTGTAGGGACGCCTGCGCTCGGGTTCGGGCGAGACGGTGTGAGCAGGCAGCGTATGCTTGCGCTCACCAACCTTGGCATCCTCATGTCCACACGCGGTGGCGGTGGCGGGACGGCTCGTGCGCAAGGAGTTATGTCCGGTGATATTCCACCGCAGAGGGTCGTGGATTATGCATCTACCATCGCATCCGTGTCCGAGCGCGGCAATAAAGCTCCGGTCGGTGAGTCTCCATCGCGCCACGTGGAGGTGTCGAACCCAACGATCGTCGCCGCTTCGCCGAGGGCTGTGCATCAATCCGCGCAAGCAGCGAGCGCCGCTGGCCATGCCGCCACCCTCGGTACTGGAGAAAGGCGAGAAGATCGGAGGGTGGAAGAGACGGGGAGAAAACAGGAGAGGAGGGAGGAGAGTCTGTGTGGGGAAAAGAGGACGACCAGCCTCTGAGCGCGAGGAAGAAAAGGTCCCGCCAAGAGGAGAAGTTGGAGGCGAAATCGAAGTTGTGGGTAGACGGCAAAGCGTTATGGGCAACCGGCCCCGGACGGATGATCGTGGACGAGGTGCATTCCTGCGCGGACTACTTCTGCGCGATCGTCAATGGAGATGCAGGCGCCAGCGCTCCTCATGGCCTCATGATGCCGCCCCCCGAAGTCCCGCGCGTGCGGATCGAAGATGGCGCGCAACGAGAGCCAGCTCTCAGATGGGCGAGATGAACGGAGAATGTGGCAATGCGCGTCATCCACGACTGGATATTCAGATCGCCTTCAAGGTCCGATGGTTTCGTCCGCGCAGAGTCCTACGTCGCCACAGATTACCCCACCGACCTGGCGAGAGCGGTTTGGCAGAGCTTGGAGTGGTCGAGGATAGTGTCGCCCGCCGTAATTTACCACACGGTTGCTTTGAAGATGGACATCCCAGTGTGGTTCGCCGGGGCGTATATCGAGAACAGGCCAGAGGACGATGACATGGCCACGTACCAGGAGGCGACTGTGATGCATCTTGCGTCATGCTTCTACGACACACTCCGGGCCGGGCAGTGGTGGGACGGCGGTAGATTGTCACACTAGAGACTGAGCAGAATCGGGGATGCTTTCCGCCTGCTTCTCGCCGCGTGCATGTGGGTCATGCGCATGGGAGGCGACGATGCGCGCTCCTACGAGGAGGCGTCTTACTACTCGCAGCTGGTGGCGAAGCCTACTCTCGTGGCGGCGTGTTCATCGTCCTTCAACTGGCGCCACTATGTGATGCACTCGGCGAACGCGGTCTTGAGTCGCCTGCGGAAGCCACCGTTGACGCTGGGCGCTTTCCCTGACTACATCCCGGAGTGGGCTTCGTGCGGAGTGCGGTACAACTGCAACGCTGGTCTGGCGGACCC